ACAATGACAAGCTAGCTTCAAGATTAAGCACTGAAAATTTGAATCACCCAGATTATTATTAAACAATCCAGTACTGGGATTAATTATAGTAATATAATATTACTAATATTATTATAATAAATTTATTTTCCATTATTCAGCTTAAAGCACGATAAATTATATATTATTAATATCTTTAAATAATATCTCAAAATTTTCAGATAACTTTAATTATTTCAGATAATTAAACATTACTTGCTGAATATATATAATTATAGTAATGAATGTAACAATATTAATAACTTTTAGTTCAAACTTACGTCAGTTTTAATACACAGCAAATAATTTAGAAGATTAATTTGTAAGAACCAGGAAAATTGAGCATCTATTATTTATTAATTATACATTGTATGTACCGTAATTATAACATTACGAAATGACCTTCGTAAAAATCTATGGATTGGACATTTAGCTTATATTGATGAACAGCTCACTTACGAACTTACCATTACCAGGTAGACCAGGTCTTATGTTGTACTGTACGAAGTGTGTGGAGTCTGTAAATGAAGTGTAGGTCTCATAATAGCAATAATGTTTATTGAGTTTCAGGAGAAATAGTTTCAATTTATACATTAAATAAAAGCTGAGATTTATTTCGACAGTCAATAGATGTTAACAATAAATGTTTTAAAAATGAATTAATAATCAAAAAGTAATTATGGTAATGACAAAAAAGAGCTCAATTCTAATAGTAATAGAAATATAATTAACTGTAATTTGAATAACTAATAGTTTTATACAATATATTGTAAATAAATAATTATATTTATATATAGTCTATAAGTGAAGAATGAGTTTTGAGAATAGATTACATGAAAATATTTGATCAACTGATGGTTGAGCACAACACTGACAGTGAGACAGGTCTTAGAGTATTAGTCCACGAGATTGAAATTCATTAACAATAAGTTACTTTAAACATAGTTATTGAATATATTGAATATATTATTAGATAATGATTTGGACCTTCTATTCAATCAGTAATTATTTTTATTTAACAAATTATGACAGTTTTAGTTGAGATTACTTTCAGACAAAACAAAATAATTAAGTTTTCATTTGAAAGAATAAATTCATATCATTTTTCAATTACTTTTCCATTCATTCATTCATTCATTCATTATATCTCACATTCCTATAAACTTTCAATTTTATCAAAAAATCTATTCATTATATAATACCTGAAAAGTTAGAATATATTTATATAATATATAAACAATTTTTTAAATAATTAAAATATTTACACAAAGATTATCAATAATTATAATAAAAAGAAATTAAATTCAAAAATCGAAACTTTCATTCAAATAAAGGCAACAAATATTCAATGCTTTTGAGTTCATTATATAGAAGCCAATGTCAAATGTAAAACATAATTGGATTAAAGATATATTTCATAATTAAAAACAATTTGTGTTTAATATTACGGTAAATATATTATATTATATTAAAGAATATAATAATTATAATGTCTTCAAAAGTGTGAACAATAAGTCACTAAAAGCTGCAAAAAATGAATGTAAGCGAAGAGAAACAGGAGTTAATAATAATGTGTTTGGATTTGAATTCACTTCTGTAGTGTTGTTTGTGGTATAAGTTACGACATTGAACTGCAGGGGATTCGCGGGGAACCCATTTGAGTCAACACCCGATCCAACCACTGGAGGGGACCGTTCAGATGCAGTTCAATCCAACACGGAGTTGATGTCACTGTTTGGCGCCTATACTCTGCGCCCCAACCCTTAACAAAGCTCATCCTTATTGTACACATTCGGGTCAACTGATAGACCGCTTCGAAGCCCTGACTCACCGACTGAGCCAAGAGTGCGGCGAACTCTTGATTGTTGAATATTTTAAGATTACAGCCTATGGTATAGATTAGCGATTAGATTGTTTGGCACATAAGTATGAGCGCAGGTATGCATACCGGGAGGAATCTTGCAGACCGTTGCCGGATGCCAACCATATCTTTGGTTACAGTTAGGGCTCTGAACGAAAATACTGCTATCACTGAGACATTCGGCAAACACTTCGCCACCGATATAGTAGAGACGAACGCCTCGGCCTTCAAAGCAATCAATGATTAGTGATTTCACGTCATTTCCGGTGCCATACCGGTGCCATAAAGTGAATGCATGTAATGCTAACCGATATGTCTTCGCGTCTGTTCGACGATTGCATTCCTATTGACATTCGAGAGTAACCCCAAACAGAAGCGCTCAGAACTGGACGGATCCGTGAATCCATCGACGGTCAGAGAGGGTTGGGAGGCGTGGAAGGTCTCACCCACTCGTGTGTTCAGTTCATAGTATGATATCGAGCACCAAAAGGCCGGCTCAGTGTATGTGACCGGTTGGACATCCAGTGGTGGAGATGGAGACGAGATAAGGGAAGTGTCTGTCAGACAAAGTGTCAGTCATGTCATCAGATGTGGTATTCAGTCATTCAATAATATATACCCATATTATCGGTGCCATTGAGATCCTGATTGTCACCGTCTTCGCTCATATACCCGGGCGGTGGGGTCTCTGTGGGGGTCGACACAACACACAACACCATTCATATCATGTAAATAGCACTCAATTTAGCATGGTCATATTTTATATGATCAATTTAGTAAGCACTTGTAGAAATGTCATCTAATAATAACTATTCACTAATTTACACATTAAATTACATTATAATCATTACAATGTGCTGCAATATATTAACAATTACAAATCTTCACCTTGTTAATTGTGTAAATGGCATAAATTTAACAAATCAGACAATTGTCGGCATATTACGTTATCTAATATTTTGTTTATCCAAACATTATTTAATAATAAATGTACGCTAAAATCCAAATATCACGTTACGCTTACTCAATGCCCCCAAAATAACCCTCAATTTTATGATATAAAATTAATATGCATTAAAATTTCAATTACACACTTGTTTAGGGAAAATTAAACATATTATCTTAAATAAGTTAATTAATGCTCATTTGATATTAATATTGTCGTTATAGTAATGACAATACATTAACAGGTCTTGAAATAAGATATAAATTCCATCACAGAATTGTATTCAGAATATGAACTCAACTTATATTGAAAATAAATACAAATGTACTGATTTAAGTGCAAAGTGTATGTTCAGTTAATGTACTGTAATGTTATTAAATTGATGTTTAAATAAACTATAGTTTAATTGTCAAGTGTTTGGTCGCAAACCCTAACAAAGGTGTCAAATGAGTGTCAACTCACCCGTGAGAGGAAACGTCTGGGTTTGAAGAGCTGTGGGGAAGTCTGTGTTTTCGGGAACAGAGTTGGAGTAGTCGTCGAGAAGCGGCAAATCGGACGCCAAATCGGTTCCGCTATTACGAGGCACTAGTATTGGTGGGAGGGCTGGGGTTTCTATCCTCTGGTAGTGGTATGGGTTGACGCACACCTCATCGCGCTTCAGACTGAAGGCGTACTGACATATCTCTATGGCTTTGAGCTCGTGATGACTGGAGAGGTCCGGCCACCGCCAGAGACGACAATAGATGACGTGAGGCAAGCCTTTCCGCTGAGACACCTGTAGTCTGCCGTCCAGTGATCGGGGAATGGTGACACATTTGCTGGGCTGACCCGGCTGTGAGAGGGCCCTCTCGAGCTCTTCGACGGCTCCCTTTTGCTTCTTAAGCTTCTTGACGAGCGAGTAGACGGCCTTCTCGGCCCACTTGCCCTCCTCGTCCCCCTGCTTC